TCAGGGGCGCGGCCAAGAGGAGGACAAGAGGAGGACAAGGCCCAGCCGTAAACCTCTCGGAGAAGCGATGTCAACTGACACTCTGCCCGCACACACCCCCCATGTCGCCTTTCTGCGAGGGCGCCGCTGTCAGACGCACCCGCCCGACAAGTGCTTTGGGCGGGGGCGCAGTAAGTCGCATCCGCGGGCGGCCTGGTTGGGCAAAATTCTTGGGGAGGCCAAAGCGCAGCGCGGCCGCGCGGGCTGCGGCCCGGGCGCCGTCACGTAAAGGCAAGATAGCGGAGGGACGGAGAGAAAGAGAGAGAGAGAGAGAGAAAGAGATAGAGAGAGAGAGAGAGAAAGAAAGAAAGAGAGAGAGAGAGAGACACAGCAGGAAAGAAACCGAGAAGAAAGAAAGCCAAAAGGAAGAAAAGAAACAAAGAAACACAGAAAGCAAGCAACAAAGAGAAAAAAAAAAGATTAACGGTTGGAAATCCGTCAGGTGCAGGCACAAAGAGACTTTCGGTGTTGTTGACGTGGCTGACAGGCGCGACCGCGCGTGGTTCCGGCTCGCCGCGTCCTGTGGACGGCGGTGGAGAGGGGCGTGGAATGTGGCGACCTCAGAAGTTGAAGCTGAGACGGAGCAGCGACGACACTGCGGCTGACGAGGTGTGTGGGACGTGGAGACGCTGTGCCAGAAACCGGGGCGTAGCTTGGCGTGCCCGGCGTCTTGGACGCGGTGGGCGGGTTCTCAGAACCGTAGAGGGCAACGACAATGCGGGCGTCGTTGCTATCGGGACCCACGAGGCAGCGAACCTCTGCTGTGACTGGGAGGCCGTGGCCCACCATGCGGAGCAGGTGTGCCTGGGGGAAAAGTCACCGTCGAGCACGGACGTTCCGAGCAGGTGGCGGCGTGGCTGCGCGTGCTCCGCGCACGCGCGGCCTGTGAGACTCCGCAGGCGGGCGTGTGGGGCGCACAGTCGACCACGGTAGTGGACGCCGGCTAGCAGGAAGAGGCTGCACGACGGGCAGCCGCCAAAGAGAAGGAGCGGAGCGAGAAAGCCGGAAAGCGGCGGCCAAAGCAAAAGCGCAGGCGAAGGTGCGAGGTTTCCCACCACTTTTTTTAAAAGTTTTTTTGTTGGGTTTGTGTCTTTCCAGCAGAGTTTCTCGAAGAAGTATCCCGCGCGCAAGGCCGACGAGAAAACCTCCAAAGAGTACCCCAGACCCCCCGTTTCCGAGAAGATCGACCCCCAGGTTACGAAAACTGCATATCGAAGTAAAACAGTTCCGATCCCTTGCACCTTTCACGAAAAGTCGACTTTGGGGCACCAAAGCACGAGGTTTCCCTCGCGCCTGCCACGAAAAGTCACCACCATGTACGAAAATGTGCACGGCGCCACAACGAGAGCGCAATCGTTAGAAGCACCCGCCGCGGACACCCAGATTCAGCGAGGCTGCGGTGCACATGAACGATGTCGAGAGTCATGAATGCACTGTAAATAGAAGCGAATCAGCCGCGCACGCCCGCGGGGAACAGCGATCTAACTAAGCACGCGTGCAATTCCACTACCGTAAGAACCCCTAAGTGTGCCCACACTGTTTGGGCGCTCACTCTGACTCACTCTGGAAGAGGCGCTGACTTCAGGCTCGCCGCCGGCTCAGCGTGTTGAAGCCGCAGCATGTCGGCAGCTGGCAGCGCGCAGCAAGTAGACTTTTGAAGGCTTGTTGGTCCCAATTCTGCCATGGGTCCGTGACTGGGTCGTACTCTTGCAAATGCAGGCAGTTAAAATGGGCTGGGGTTGCTGTGCTTGACGCATGGTGTGTGAGGGAACCTGCTGCAGGGGGATAGGAGCACCAATCGGGGTGGCTTGCCGGGCTGGAGCAGGAGCCGGCTGCCGGTAGCGTGCCCAAGTAGCTTGTAAAGTTGGAGCTTCAGTCTGGACTGTTTGATGCACAACGGAGAGCGGTGGCGTGGAAACCGTGGATAGCTGAAGTTGACGAGTGGCAGGAATGGGAAGTTAGACAATCGGTTGCGGGGTGGCTTATGACATCACTACCCTTTCCTGAGGGGGGACGTCGAAAATTGTAAATTATATTTTCCTATGCGGTGGGCCTCAGAAAATGTAATTACATTAACTTTGAGGTGGCCTCAAAAAAGATAACTTACATGAATTTACATTTTTTGACCCCCCTGAGCCTGTGTTTGTCCGATTTGTGTTGCTGTCTCATGGCGCAGGCAAAAGGTGACATTGCAGACGTCAAAACGTGTAATTTACAATTAGTCCACGCATCCAAACCCCCAGATTTTGCACGGAATGCCTGGGTTGTGTGAGAAAGTTTGACCTCACAAATTGTAACTTACATTTTTGCCACATGCCCAACTCCCCCAGAATTTACAAGGAGGAGTTAGTTGCATGGTTGCATACTGAAAATCACACCCCAGCGATTCCACGAAGCGCAAGCGGGGCAAGCAACCAGGGGATCAAGCAGCATTGAATATCATTGTTCTCCTGCACAATAGAACAGGAAGCTGTGCGAGATTAGAATGATCCCTCCTTTGTTGCGTAGCATGTGGATGATCCTCTGTTATGTTTAGGTTTCGCTTTGTTGCCTTCCTTTGCGGCCTTGAGTGGGAACATGTATGTTCCTGTTTCTTGGCCGTTTGCCCTGGGTGTCAAATGTAAATAAGCACGTGCCAGGCCACAAGTTACCTGTTTTGGGGACCCTCCCCGTCCCCCCTTTACCCGTTTCGATGGTGCCTGGGGGGGCGGTAAGTTGCATTTTTAGAATTTCTGGGGGCCCACCCTAAAATGTAACTTACTTTTTTGAGGTCCTCCCTTCCTGAAGTAGCTTGAGGGGGCAAGGATCTTGTGACAGTGAAGGGCTGGGGCTGGTTTGGCCATTTTTGCCAGCGGATCAGTACCGGATTGAGGGGAAGGTGTAATGATGTTCATCGTGTTGGCATGTTCTCAACATGGTTGAGTGCTGTGCGCGTGGAGATGTTGCTCGGCCAGCTCCACATGGTGATGATATATAGGGATTTGTGTGGTACTGGAGGGATGTGTGCAAAGTTTCCGTGATGGGATCGTGATGGATTGCGCCCGCATCTGCAGGGATAGCCGTAAGGTGGACTCCACGATTTTCACACACGAACGTCGAAAATCTGTGGCTCACATGCAAGAAAAGAATGGAAAGGGACACTGCGGATACATGCATCATGCCTAGAAGGGAGTACGGGCGTACGGGGCAGTCTGAAACTTCCAAGTGGCAGCGTTCTCCGTCACACTAGACAAAGACAACCGTGAACAAGAAAACAAAAAATCGAAGACGGCAGGTGGCAGGTTTTTCAATGACTTTCCTGCAACGTGTTTGGTGGGGCGGCCATTTTCCTGCCTGGATTTTGTTGGTGTGGTGGCTACTACTTTCCCGCCTGGTTTTTCAGACGTGCCTACTTTCCTAGGAACGCTGATGATGCCCAAGGAATCAACAGAACTTGCCGCAGACCCCTTGGAGGTATATCTATTCCGGGGTGCCCTGACAACAACAATTTGGGGGAACTTACTGGGATAATATTTGGGCACCTCGTCTCCATGCCCCCCGCACACGCACACACACAAAACAAAAAAAAAACATGCAGGGAAATAGCCACCCCACCCAACCAAAGCAGGAAAGTAACCGCTTCACCTAGGCCCAGGTTATACGTTCCTTCATATTCCTTCTATGTTTTTAAGTGTGGCGGCCTGGTTGTCTACTTTCTGCCCGAATTTGGGTGTGGTGGCAATCCGCGCCATATGCACCGCCTGCTCCGCCTGCTCAGCCGGCAGCAGCTGCCACTACGCCAGATTTTCCTTAAGCCACCGCCACCTCCCAGCACGCCTCCCGCCACCTCCTAGCACGCCTACCGCACCAACATCCACCAGCCCAGCACGCGTTGCCACCACACCGCCATCCACCACCGGCCATGTACCTTTCCCGGCTCCACCAATCCCCGCTACTTGGACTTCCACTGACACCCATTGCAACTCACAACTTGTTGCAAACCACCAGTTGTTGTCGTATTCCCTTGGACGCTTGCCTATCATGGCACATCAGGTTTTGCAGCACGTACCCTGAGCCACGGCGACGGGACATTTTGCAGCCTGGTCCCGACTTGCAGCATAGCGGAGTCGATCTTCCTCACGCAGTCCCTGCACGACCTGCGCGAGAAGCACATCGATGGGGATGCAACTGCGGACTCCCTCCACCGGGCAGCGGCGTATTTTCAGCAAGGCAGCTGACGCTAAGGCGCTTATGTCCCCCATGGCGCTAAGGTCTATTGCTGTAGCGGAAATGCTAATGCAGCAGTGAACCAGTGTCTGATTGAATGCTCAAACAGTTGAGCTATAGAGTAACTATTCCATATGAGAATGCGTATGGGCGGTGCGACAAGTGACTTCTCTTACTTGTAGCACGCCTTTTGTGGACCACCCGCGGGCTAAAGGCAGAGCATGAAGGAGCAGCAGGAAAGAATTGTTAAAATGTGGAGCAGGCCACGTGTGGGAACCATGACCATGTTGTTTTTGGATTAATTTGGCTGCTGCTGCCTGGTTTCCTTTGGTTTCTTGGAATGGTGTTTGTTTGTTTGTTTGCTTGTTTGCTTTTTGTAGGCATGGAAACGCAGTTCTGTCCCTCCCACCCCCCTCCTGCCACAAACTTTGATGTGTAAGAGCAGCAACACCACTGTTTCTAGCTATCCGCCAGCCATTCTAAGATTCTATCGTGGCAGTGGGCGCTTTTCTGGCCCTACCTTCTGTGTTTGACCCTAAGCAGGTTCAACTGCGTGGCAAAAAAATGACAATAAGATGACCCCTGCGTCGAGTGCTCCAAAATGACAAGGTTTAACGCTGCAAACGCCAGCCAACTGCCAAAAGGAACCAACAATTGAAATGTTTGTGGGTTGGTAGCTTGTGATTTTTTTCTGCCGCAGCTTTTCCGAACTGCTCGAATTTTTGATGAATTTCTTATACTTGCTGGAATCTCCTGCGCATGGCCCCTGGCCCTACCGTGCTCGGATTCGATCAGGCGACTTTGAAACACTGCGGGGCACCGAAAGTGGGCGTTGGGAAATTGGTTTGCATGGTTTGCTCATAGTACCATCATCGTCAATCGCACAGGAGAGTTACAACCAGGTTCTGGACGGACTTGTCTTTGGTTTTTTCCCAATCATAGGAAACACATGGAAACACCCTGCCAAACAACAATGCAGCTGAGTCAATCCTATGGCTTGTGGTTTTCCCACCCTTTGGGCAGTTGATGTTCCAGTGGTTTTCAGGGTCCATGTTAGTCTTCCTTTTCCGTGAAAGTTGAAACTTGACACTTTAACACTTAGAAGGGCTTTCATGGTCAGGTTGCTCATGGTTGGGTTCCTTTGTACTCGTTTTGCCCAGTGAACTTTTTCACTTAGGCTTCTGTGTGGCGTGTGGCATTCAGACGGTACATGCTTTTGGAGTGTGTGGCTAAGTACTTTCTCTACTACCAGATGTGTCAACATACCGGAAGGCGTCAGGAAAACCACAAGAGACCGCCACTAGAATCACTAGAACCAAGCTATAGGCTATCCGACTTCCCCAACTCCAATTCAAAGTCACGAAAGCTAGCCTTAGCTAGCTGGAGTTGCTCTTGCTTTAGCAAGTTAAGTGACGGGGTGGACGC